AGCAAAAAATTTTCCCAAAAAAAAAAAAAAAAGATTTATTTAATTTACTTATTATCATCATTATTATTTTCGATTTACTGCAGGGCACCCACACCAGAGAAAGAGAGAGAGAGAAAGCGAGAAAGCAAGCTGCCATGTCCAGGACTCGAACTATGTAAGTGACGTGAGAGTCCAGCACCTTAACCACCACACTACTTGCTGGCCCGAGATTTAAGGAAAAAAAATTATTCTTTTAAAAATTTTATTTATTATTACTAATTTCCACAGAGGGACAGAGAAAGAGAGAAAGGAAAAGTGATAAGGCAAGTTGTCAGGTCCAGGACTCAAACCACAATTAACCATGTGGGAGTCCAACATCTCAACCACCATGCCACATGCTGGCCCGTATTATTATTTTTATAAATTTGCTAGAGGGTACATGCACTCACCCCACAGAGACAGAGAGAGAGAGAGAGAGAGGGAAAGTGAGAAAGCAAGCTGCCAGGTCTGGGACTTGAACCACAGTTAGCCATGTGGGAGTCCAGCGCCTTAAACACCATGTCATCTTCTGGTCCCTAGAGTGCTTTACGTTAAAGGAGGATCAGAAGAGTGTGTGTCACTGCGACTGCAGAGTCTGTGTCCCTGTCCTAGTGCCATGGTAACTCAGTCACCTTCTGTGGTCTTACTGCTGTGAGATGACTCAGGGCTAACGGAGGGCCGTTGTGATCCATTCCTTGATTTCATCCTCACAGTTTCAGATTTTTTTCTTTTTTTGAGAGGTTTTTGCTATAGGGCACGTGCGCTTGCCAGAAAGACAGAGAGAGACAGAAAGACAGGAAGCGAGAAATCACCCCCCAGGGGGGATGGCCACACTGCAATCCCTTTTCCTCCATTCTCCTCTTGGGATCTTGGGCACACACGCACACGCGCCCAGCGTGAGTTTTTTAAGCCACTGGGTCCGGGACTGGAGCCGTGGTTGACTACATGGGAGTCCAGCGACATGGCCATTACTGCTGATCCCAGTTCCAGGTGTTTTAAGCCAAATGTAGAAGCCACTTGGCCAAACAGAAAGGACTTTAATGTTGTAGTGTCTTGTGTGGTGGGTGGGGAAGACTTGCCTTGGGGAAAGAACCCTGCCAAGTGTTGGTAACATCAACTGAGTCCTGTCACCTGCTTCAGCTCTGTGTGACTCTTTTTTTCTTTATAAACTTTTTAAAACTTTTTTTAAAAAAGAATTATTTATTTAATGTCACTTATTCATTTATTTATTTTAATTTGACCAGAGAGAGACACAGAGAGAGAAAGAGGGAAAGTGAGAGAGCAAGTCACCAGGTCTGGGACTCGAACCGCAGTTGGCCATGTGGGAGTGTCCAGCACCTTAACCACCACACCACTTGCTGGTCCTAAACTTCTTTGTTTTTAATTAATTAATTTACACTCATTCACTCTGTGTGACTTCCTGACAGGAAGTATGGATGTCTTTTAAAGATGTTCACGATGCTTAGACTAACAGAAAAACAGTTATGAGATGTTTTCAAAATATTCTGGGGAAAAAAACGTTCTCTTTTATCGATCAGCATCTAATTGGCATTTTTTCAAATGTCTATTACAACTTTATTAATGAGGTAAGGAAGTTGCCAGATGTATGTGTTTAAAACACTATCAGGTATGCAGTAATGCATATTTCTAAAAATTGAACCGAATGGAAGGCCCAGTCCAAACTGAAATTTAAATTCATAGTAATTACATGCTCTTTGCCCACACAGAAAAACAAGAACGCCTTCCAAAGGTAAATAATCAAGTAGGATCTTTTACTTTTTAAGAATTACTTTATTTAACTTTATTTACTTATTTTTAATTTGACCAGAGAGGGACAGAGAGAAAGAGGGGGGGGGGAGTGAAAGTAAGAAAGCAAGCCGCTAGGTCCAGGACTTGAACCGTGGTCAGCCATATGGGAGTCCAGAGCCCTTAACTACCACACCACCTGCTGGCCCCTAATTTTTTTTTTTTTTTAGTTAAGATGGACTCTTGCCTTGTGATCCTCCTTCCTCAGCCTTCCATGTTGCTGGGATTGCAGGTGCGAGCTGCTGGCCTTTGATTGGACAAGGAGTCAAACCCAGATCTTGCATGGAACCCTGGTGTGCACAGCAGTGTTGTAGTAGTGTGTACCACTGCAGATGGCATAATGGTTATGTCACTAGACTCCCACATGGCCAATTGCGGTTTGAGTCCTAGACCTGGCAGCTTAAAACTCATGCCAGGTGCAGGTGCATGTGTGCCCAAAATCCAGAGAGGAGAATGGAGGAGAAGGGATTGTGGCATGGCCATGCCCCTGGGGGGTGATTTCTTGCTTTCTGTCTCTCTGGTGAACATATGAGCCCTATAGCAAAAATCTCTCTTTTACAAACAAAACAAAACAAATAGAAAAATGGGAGTCTTGGGGCCAGCAGGTGGAATGGTTATGGTAGCTGAATCCCACATGGCCAACCGTGTGGTTCTAGCCCTGGACCCGGTGGCTTAAAATACATGCCAAGTGCATGAGCATGCCCGCCCAAATCCTGAGAGGAGAAGAGATTGCAGCATGGCCATCCCCCCTGGGAGATGCTTTCTCGTGTTCCTTTTCTCTCTCTCTCCTTCTCTCTGTCCCTGGTGAGCTGCTGCCCTCTAACGACCTAACTAAAAAGATGGAGTCCAGACCTGGCTGCTTCCACGACCCTCAGGACTGATGAACAGTTACCTTTTCTGGATCTCCATTTCCTCTTCCGGAAAATTAGCAATTGAACAAGCCAAACTCTTTCCTTTTTTTTTTTTGGAGAGGTTTTCGCTATACGGTGCGTGCGGTCGCCAGACAGACAGAGACATAGAGACAGAAAGCGAGAAATCACCCCCCAGGGGGGATGGCCACGCCACAATCCCTTCTCCTCTATTCTCCTCTCGGGATCTTGGGCACGCACGCACACGTGCCCGGTGTGAGTTTTAAGCCACCGAGTCCGGGACGCGGACTGCGGTCGACTACATGGGAGTCCAGCGACATAGCCATTACACTAACTGCTGGTTCCCCCTGGCGTGAGTTTTAAGCCACCGGGTCCAGGATGTGAACCGAGTCGACTACGTGGGAGTCCAGTGACAGCCATTACGCTAACTGCTGGTTCCCAACAAGCTAAACTCTTTCCAAGCTTGAAATTCTCTACAGATCCTCTCATTAAAAAGGAAAATTTTCAATGAGAAAAATTTCTATTTAGATACATTAGAGAAAGCACACATTTGACAATATTTTAAGATCTTCCAGAGTAAGTTTAAATTTAAGGCAATTTAGGGAAAACATTAAAGGTTATTCATTCTATCGTATGCTTCTCATGTATCCTGAAGAAGCCTCTTCTAAAATTTTTTAAAAACAAATACATTTTAGGAGCCTTTTGGAATGTGATTTTCCTAACAACTCTTCTTATATGATACTATTTTCCAAATACCACTGAAATACCACTTGTTAATTTTCTGTGTATCTTGAACATATAGTTTTCCAGATTCTCAACTTGAATTCCTCTGGGTTTTAAGAGAGTTACGCAGAAGCAGCCTTTTCTGTACACTGCGGTATATGTATCATCTACACAACACAGCAATAATCTCCACAGTGAGTCCTTCAGCCACAGATTTGTCCTAAACTGGTGTTAAAGTGATCCATTTCTGGGTATGACCATCTAAGAATGCAATGCCCATCTAGAATAAGGAAAGAAGTTTTTTTTTTTTTTTTAAAAAATCTTTCAGTAATTATTTTCAGACTGGGAAGTTATACAATGTTTCAAAAAATAAAAAAGTAAAAATAAGGCCAGCAGGTGGCATGGTGGCTAAGGTGCCGGACTCCCACATGGTCTGTGGCAGTTTGGGCCCTCGGCCCCGGCCAGTTGCTTTCTCACTTTTCCTCTCTCTTTCTCTCTGGTGAGCGCATGCGCCCTACAGCAAATTAAATGATAACAATAATAAATAAAATTAAATATAATTCTTTAATAAAGTAAAAAGTATATATTGATATTTACTATGTAGAATGCTTTTGTCTTATCTAATATTCACGTGTGTGAGAAAGCATACATTTGACAATATTTTAAGATATTTGGGATGGCAAAATGACCAGCTAATTTATACCCTAGGAGTAAGTGGCTTTGATAAACTCTCTCTTAGAGTTGCCTAGTTTGAGTGTTTTTGGACTTGTTGGAGGATTCCTAATCAGCATCCTTTTTTTTTCTTCTAAGCCTTTATTCATTTATTTATCTATTTATTTGTTGTTATTTTTAGGACACCAGGTTCAGGACTCAAACCACAGTTATCTATGGGGAAATCCAGTGCTTTAACCACCATGCCACCTGCTGGCCCTCTAATCAATGTCTTGATGCTCTCTTAGAACAGCACTGGGATCTGTTTTATTTGAGTAGTTACATCTAAATGTACCTTATTTTTTTTCCCCATTTGATATGTAAGTCCTTGATTAACTTGCAGATCACCGAAGTTCACTGGTGACTAGTCCAACCGAATTTATTTTAGGAGAAACTGAGGTATTGGGTCGTCGGAAAAGTCATTATGCCTTTTTGCATAGAAAAACATAGAAATATACACTTTTTTTGGTAAATAATTATTTATTAAATTAAATTAATTAGTTAGTGAGTTAATTAATTTGTTTGTTTGTATATCCTTTAGTCATTCAGTTTGGGCCATAGAGTGCGGACAATCGGTACATACTAAGTGGAGACATACAATGTCTCTCTTTCATAGCCTGGCTTCCTTCACTCTGAAGTAAATCTTCCATATTCCTCCGCTTTCTGTCAAAAGCCAGGGTCATGTTTTTTTATGGCTGAGTAATATTCCAAGAAATATACACAATTTTTCAGAACTTTTCTGATGGCCCAATATTTATACTTTTTTTGTCTTATCAGGAAGGTAAGAGAGAGACACAGTTGATACATTTACTTCCTAGTAACTTCCAGATCTTCGTAGTGCCAAGAAACAGTAGAGAAATCAAAAGACAAACATGAAACCAGAGGTTTTATTCTCTAATTGTTACTCAGCCCCAATTCTAACTGATTTGAAAATAAATACTTAAAAACATTTTCTGCCCAGCAGGTAACATACGGCCCTGCAGTGTGGTTGGGCCGTATATCATGTCCTGCCTGGGGCACGTGAGGAGTGATCAGAGGGCAGGAAGACGTCACCGCTCCATGAGAAGGCTGGTTGGGGGTCTCTCATCCCCGTGTCCGTCCCTGTAGTGGCCCTGCTCCCCGACCAAACGCGTCTACACGATGTGAAGGACTTTGAAGGCAGCCACAGCCTGTTTCTCCCTTTCGTGCCTGCTCTGAAGTATCTCCAGCAGTGAGATTTCGGGCAGATTTTCTTCCTTCCCAGTGTAGGTCGAATGCTTTTTCCCCTTTGAGGCTTGATCAGTCAAATTTGATAGTTTGGGTCTGGGGATGGTCTTCGCATATTCCAAAGCCTAAAAACATAAAAATCAATTTCTTTTTGAAATGGAAAGTGAGCCTTGGGTCCCTTAAATTCAATCTAGTCTTGGGCAACGTCCATTTATCATAGAAATAGACACTATTGCTACAGCAACTTCCTAACACAGGAGTGGAAATGGTCATTCCATGGAAAGCACACATAGTGCAATTCCGTGCACAGTATCCACGAAATAAATAGCCTCAACATACTTTGCTACAGACAAAGAAGAGTTGAACTAGATGGTTGTGAACTTTGTGTTTTCTTCATCAAACTGAGTGTCCTTCAAGTGATGGAAAAGATTTCTCAAATGTTTGATCTATTGGCTTGTCTGAAAAATCATGATGCATTTTTGCATAGAAAAACAGAAAAATTCATCATGACTTCTTTTTCGGATAGGTTTTTGCTATAGGGCACATGCGCTCACCAGAAAGACAAGAGAGAGACAGAGAGACAGAAAGTGAGAAATCATCCCCCCCCGGGGGGAGGGCCACACCGTAATCCCTTCTCTCCATTCTCCTCTTGGGAGCTTGGGCACGTATGCACGCATGTCCGGCATGAGTTTAAGCCACCAGATCTGGGACTTGAACCACGGTCGATTACATGGGAGTCCAGGGACATAGCCATTACACCAACTCCTGGTCTCTCATCATGACTTTTTTAAAAAAGAATTATTTTATTTAACTTTATTTATCCATTTATTTATCTATTTATTTTTTAATTTGACCAGAGAGGGACAGAGTGAGAGAGAGAGAGAAAGTGAGAAAGCAAGTCACCAGGTTTGGGACTCAAACTGCAGTCAGCCATGTGGGAGTCCAGCATCCTTAACCACCTGCCAACCTGCTGGCTCCACATCATGACTTTTTTGACAACCCAATATTTAGTTTCTGGCAGTCACATTAAACCAAACTTCCAGGGAGGGACTATTAACAGACCTTTCTATCCAAAGAGGACCTGTTATAACTTGAGACCAAAAACATCACTGTAGTTGATATAAAATGAGTGTCTCTCTCTTTTTGCTTTTAGTTTTTTTTCCCCATAGAGTGTGTGTACTCACCGGAGAGAGACAGAGAAAGAGAGAGGAGAAAGTGAGATGTCACCTCCTGAAGGTGGGAAGGTTGGCCAGGCCACAATCCTTTCTCTTCCATTCTCCTCCCAGGATTTGGGCACATAAGCACAAGCCCCTGGCATGATTTTTCAAACCACCAGGTCTAGGACTTGAACCACGTTTAGCCATGTGAAAGTCCAGTGCCTTAACCACCACACCACCTGCTGGCCCAAGCCTCCATTATTACACTCTTGTTCTTAGGCTCCTAGAACTCAACACATTATTGGAGGTGGATATCTTTTTTTTTTTTTTTTCCTTTAGTATATCTGTAAAAACCTAGATGCTGAGAAAAGGTTATCTTTTTTTTTCAGTGATATCATTTTTGAAAACCATTATGATAAAAATGAGACCACTAAATATGGTTTCTAAATCTGAATTTACACCAGTTTTATATTTTAATATCAGTTTATTGATACATGAAATGGGAATTAATTGTACAGTTAGATCCTGAAAGAAGAAAAAGCACAGGGAACCAGCAGTTAGCGTAATGGCTATGTTGCTGGACTCCCATGTAGTCGACCGCGGTTCACGTCCCGGACCCGGTGGCTTAAAACTCACACCAGGCACGTGTGTGTGCGTGCCCAAGATCCCAAGAGGAGAATGGAGGAGAAGGGATTGAGGCGTGGCCATCCCCCCTGGGGGGTGATTTCTTGCTTTCTGTCTCTATGTCTCTCTCTGTCTGTCTGGCGAGCGCATGTGCCCTATAGCAAAATCCTCTCCAAAAAAAAAGAAAAAGAAAAAGCACAGAAAAAAAAAAAAATTCAGACTTCTTGGTGTATCTAGATGAAATCCATAGGAATTTGTAGTTAGAGATTTGTTGTTGGGACCACCAGTTGGCATAATGGCTATGTCGCTGGACTCCCATGTAGTCGACCGTGGTTCAAGTCCCCCTGGTGGTGTAAACTCACGCCAGGCGCATGTGCATGCGTGCCCAAGATCCTGAGAGGAAAATGGAGGAGAAGGGATTGAGGCATGGCCACTCCCCCTAAGGGGTGATTTCTCGCTTTCTGTCTCTCTGTCTTTCTGCTGAGCGCACACGCCCTATAGTAAAAACCTCTCCAAAAGAAAAAAAAAAAAGATTTGTTGTCTTGAAGCTCTTCATGAAAAGGTAATAGATTGGATAAAAAAGAAAAAGTGGCACCATGGAAACTCCATCAGGTGGATTGAAGTCTTCGAGGTCTGAGGAGAAAAGGTAATACATGGAAAATACGCGGGTCTGTGAAGGAGAACACGAAGGGCACATTCCTGAAGGGACCGAAGGGTCATGTGTTCCTCATGCACAGGGGCCCGGGTTCTGATGGGGACTGGACAGGTCAGGCCAGGCCAGCTCTGCGCCCCCGCACCCCCACGATGGAGGGCTGGCCGGCACCTCTGAGGGGGACAGTATGTATTTTATGAAATCCTTTTCTTTGATGAGGAGCCAATAGATTTCGAGCCCTGTGAGAGTGTCGGGCAATGAACTTGAGAGGCACGGCGAAGCAGAACTTTGTGACAAAGAAAACAGCAAGAGACACTCATTTCCTGAAGTCGATTTAATGACAGCGGAGGCCACTGATAGTGAATCAGGATTGCTGGTTGCTTCTAACCAATCTTACTATTTTCTCTACTAAAAGCACATGTCAGGGCCAGCAGGTGGCATGGTACTTAAGGCACTGGATTCTCACGTGCCAAACGCAGTTCAAGTCCCGGACTGGGGTGGGAGGCTTGAACAGCAACAAAAACACATGCCATCCAATTTCTTTCTTTTGTAAAATAATGAGTTAATTAATTTCTTTTGTGTGTGTGAGAGAGAAACAGCACCACAGGGTGTTGGTGCCGCCATCCACTCCCGACCTCGGCCAGCCCCGGATCACGGCACGCATGTGCCTGGTGCACTCAGGGACGTCTCTGGTCACAAACCTAGAAATGTCCCATGCAGCTGAGCCTCGCGGAATGTTGCATTTGCTCACTCTGCCACCACCTGGCCCCTGTATCATTCAATGTTTATGTGCGATAAACACAACACCCTGTACTCGGGAAAAAAGGACACGGAAACGAAATTGAGGGGGAGAAAAGCAGCTCACCTTCAGTGTCACAAGTGTGTGTGTGACGCTGTGACATCAGCTCTGCGGGTGATGGCAGCTCTCGGTGCGGCTGCAGGTAAAACATCTCCTGGGTCCCACAAATGTGTTTAAAATCTCTGCGGTGGGGCCAGCAGGTGGCGTGGTGATTAAGGAGCTGGACTCTCACGTGGCCAACCATGGTTTAAGCCCTGGACCCGGCGACTTAAATATCATGCCGGCTGCACATGCGTGTGTGCCCAAAATCCCGAGAGGAGAGGGGATTGTGATGTGGTCATCTCCCCTAGGGGGGTGTGATTTCTCACTTTCCCTCTGTCTCTGTCTCTTTCTGGTGAGAATATACACCTTATAGCAAAAAACAAAAAGGAGAGGAGAGGGAACAAAAGCTATGAGGTGGGGCCAGCAGGTAGTGTGGTAGTGGTTAAGGCGCTGGACTACCACACAGCCAACCATGGTTCAAGCCCTGGATCCGGAGGCTTGAACATCACACTAGGCACATGTGTGTGCATACCCAAAACCCCAAGAGAGGCATGGAGGAGAGGGGATTGTTGGGTGACCATCTTCCTTGGGGGGTGATTTCTCACTTTCCCCTCTCTGTCTCTGTCTCTGTCTCTGTCTGGCAAGTGCATGTGCCCTATGGCAAAAATCTGAAAAACAAAAAAAAGGCAAAAAAAAAAAGCTATGAGGTACCAAATGTTTCCTTTTCAGTCTGCTTGAAAAGATAAATGCCTTCATGAGGATGTCTCACCTTGTGCCGAGGGACCAGGGACTTGTTTCCGGTCTTGGCTGTCTGCGGCTTCGACAGAGCAGAGAATGTCTTCCTGTTGTACTCTTTAACATGCTGGGCGTATTCCTTTTGCAGGATTAATTTTTGCATCTGTTCAGAGGAAGAAAGCTCTGGTCACTCACGGATCCTATGGTTCTCTCTGTCTCTACTCGCTGTGACAGTGGTTCCAGCCAGCTGGCTACGAGCTCCTGCAGCATGGGAGGAATGGGGTCGCCACACAGGAGGGGACGGTGGTGACGTGGTGAAGTTCCCGTCTCTCCCAGAAGGAGCCTGTCCCTGGAGGCACGCTGCCACAATGGCGTGCCCGTGTCCCCGAGCAGTGGCTCAGTCATACTCAGCCTCTTCGCTGTTGCATTTACCCAATTTATTTTCATTTTAGCTTCCAACTTGGAACTAGACTCTTTTATGCCTCAGCTGCAGATGCAGTTAAAACACATGAAACGAAGATCTCCTTTCTCTAGAAGAGAGGGAACAGTGTGGAGGCACTTTTCAGAGGTTGGCGGCTCTTACCCCAAGTGTCCTCTCAGTAGCGACTCTTCAGAATTACCCAGATCACCCTGGCAGGGAAGACCGACCGCCACGTGGTCTTCCTGACCGCACACTGCTGCCTTCACAGGCACACGGCCCCGCTCGTCAGATCTAACTGAAGGCGGATGCATAAGGCGACGCGGGCGAGGGTGTACTTCGGCCTATGCATGCGCTTTTTTCTTTTTTTGAGTTTAGTTCATCCTTCTTCCACGAGAAAGAAAGGAGAGAGAAGGAGACAGAGAGAGGCACCCCTACAGGGCACTGACGCTGCGACCTCAGCCCCAGCCTAACCTGCCTGGGTCACGTGCACACATATGTGCCCGTGTGTGCAGGGAACCCGCAGGTTGCAAATCCAGACCTCCCATGTGGGCTCAGCCTCGTGGAGTTCTGTGCCTCCACTGAGCCCAGGGGGCTGGCCCAAGTGTCTTTACTTTTCTGGAAAAAGGAGTGTCTGGGTCTCTGTCCTCTGTCACCAGTGTTATTTCCGAAGGGTCTCTATTCAGAGCAGGCTGGTTAGATTAGGGTTTGATTCTGGGGGAATGCCCTCATATAACTTGCAAAAAGATGGACGGGCCCAGGCAGGCCAGAAAACACGGGGTGTTCCTCTCACTCACTTTGTCTCTGATGGACTCCATGTCAGGTCCGAGGCCTCCAAGCTTCACGTCTCTTTTCTGATAACCTTTCAGCTTCGAACTCTGCAAACACAAACACAGGAAGAGTTTCTCAGAAGGACTCGTATGTCCTCCTGGGTCGTCACAGACACATAAGGGAAGGAGGGTCACAGGGATGGGAGCCTGTGTGGGCTGGCAGAGAGAGGGCCCTTCCTGATGCTCTTCCACTTCGATGGCTGTTGTTGACCATGGCATCTTGGGCCATTTGTAGCTGATTATCTAACACGTTTTGGCTTTTCCACTTCTGCCATAAAGAAAATTGAAATCCTAAAGATTATAAATAAAAATGTTCAAGCTAGGGTTGTGCTGTTTTATTATGAATGCACTTTTTTCTTTAATGGCCAGAGGGTGTGTGTGCTTATGAGAGAAAGCCCCGGTGGGGCAGGGTCGTGCCACAATCCCTTCCCCTTCACTTCCCCATCCTGCCGGGACTCTGGTCACGCACACAGTGCCCAATATGCCTTTCAAGCTGCTAGAGCTGGCCACGTGGGCTACTGCTCCTGATGTCCTGTGCTATGGGCCAGCCCTGTGACTAATGCTTTAACATAACATGTATAGGGGGACCAGCAGATGGTGTGATTGGTTATGTCGCTGGACTCCCACATAGTCGACCATGGTTCGAGTCCCAGACCTGGTGGCTTACAACTCACGCCAGGCGCGTGTGCGTACGTGCCCAAGATCTTGAGAAGAGAATGGAGGAGAAGGGATTGTGGCATGGCCATCCCCCTGGGGGGTGATTTCTTGCTTTCCTTATCTCTGTCTCTCTCTGTCTCTCCGGTGAGTGCACGCACCCTATGGCAAAATCTCTCTTACAAAACGTCTAATACTATGTGAACAGTGCTACGCTGCTTCACTGCCATTGCAATCACTCCAGCCCACACGGTTTGCTGACTCAAATGACCTCCCTGCAGGAAGCTGTCTAAATGGACCAGGTAAGCACGCTGCTTCCATAAGAATGTCCTGGGGCCAGTAAGTGGCGCGATGGTGAAGGCAGCTGGATCCCACATGGCTGACTTTGTGGTTCGAGTTCTGGACCCAGCTGCCTGAAGACAAGCCAGGCGTGTGTGTATGTATGCCCCCAAATCCTGGGAGAAGACTGGAGGAGAAAGGACTGCAGCATGGCCGTCCCCTCCGGGTGGTGCTTTTTCCCTCTCCCTTTCTCCCTCTTCCTTTCTCTCTCTGCCTCTGCCCATGCCAAGTGAGCACATGTTCCATTAGCAAAAAATAAATAAAAACTAAATAAAAATAAAAATAAAAAAAACAAACAAGTGCCCTGCCCAGTGGTGTCATCACACTGTCCACTAGAGACCACAGAAGAGAAGCAGAAAAGGTAGTGACCTTTCACGCTTTGTTACTGATCACTGGGAGAAAGATAATGTGAAAGGAAACGTAACTACAGTCAATTCATAACACTCCAAAGAAAGGATGTGCTGGGACCAGCAGTTAGCATAATGGCTATGTCGCTGGACTCCCATGTAGTAGACTGCGGTTCGAGTCTCAGACCTGGTGGCTTAAACTCACACCCGGCACGTGTGCATGTGTGCCCAAGGTCCTGAGAGGAGAATGGAGGAGAAGTGATGGTGGCGTGGCCATCCCTCCATGGGGGGGTGATTTCTCGCGTTCTGTCTCTCTGTCTCTCTCTGTCTTTTTGGCGAGAGCATGCACCCTATAGCAAAAACCTCTCAAAAAAAACCGTAAAATAAAAAAGAAAGGAAGCGCTTACGGCTCTTGGCATGATCCGCTGAGAAATCCACTATGTTCAGTCGGTGTGGTTTTAGATCTTTTGAAGGGGACACAGGACTCTGTGTGATAACTCATTAGTATTACACATTGAAAAGGCAATTTAATTATTATTTAATTATTATTATTATTATGACACTGAAGCACAATAATACCCAGGGAAAGTCCTACTGCTCTCTGGATGGTCCTAAACTGCTGCTTTCAACCCTAAAACGTAAGTGAAGGGGCCAGCAGGTGACATGGTGGTTAAGGCACTGGACTCTCATGTGGCCTGTCACGATTCGAGTCCCGGACCTGGTGGCTTGAAAATCACGCCAGGTGCATGTGCGTGCATGCTCACAATCCCAGGAGGAGAATGGGGGAGAAGGGATTGCGGTGTGGCCAGGCCTCCAAGGGGTGGTTTCTCACTTTCCCTCGCATTGTCTCTCTCTGTCTCTCTCCAGCTAGTGCATGCTCCCTATGGCAAAAACCTTAAAAGACAAAAAACACAAAACGTAAGTGAAGTTTTGCTACTTCCCCCAGTGGAGCACCATGCTTCCTTCCTTGTCACTTTGTTACCTGGATTTCCTCTTTGGAGACAGTAGGAAAGACAATAAGGAAGAGAGAGCTTTGAGTCAGCAGGCGGTGTGGAGGTTAAGGTGCTGCATCACACACGGCTGACTGCTTGGTTCATGTCCTGGACCCGGCTAAAAAACATACTAGACCATGGGGCCGGCAGGTGGCATGGTGATTAAGGTACTGGACACGCTCACATGGCCAGCCACAGTTTGAGTCCTGGACCTGGTGGCTTACTTTCTCACTTTCCCTCTCTCTGTGTGTCTCTCTTGTTGAGTTAAATTTATTTTAATTCTAGTTGAATTAATTCTAGTTGAATAAATTCTAGTTGAATTAAAATAAATTTAACTTGACAAGAGAGACAGAGAGAGAGAGAGGGAATAAATAGGGACCAGCAGTTAGCATAATGGCTATGTCGCTGAACTCCCATGCAGCTGACTGCAGTTCGAGTCCTGGACCCAGTGGCTTAAACTCACGCCAGGCGCGTGTGCATGCGTGCCCAAGATCCCGAGAGGAGAATGGAGGAGAAGGGGTTGCAGCATGGCCAACCCCCCTGGGGGGTGATTTCTTGCTTTTTGTCTCTCTGTCTGTCTTAATGGCAAGTGCACATGCTCTGTAGCAAAAACTTCTCCCCTCCCCACAAAAAAAGAATAAATAAATAAAATTCTAGTCAAGTTAAATTTATTTTAATTCTCATTGAATTAAAATAAATGAATGAATAAATAAAATTAAATAAATAATTCTTCAATTAAAAAAAAGAAAAAGAAAAACATACTAGACATGAGTGCCCAAAATCCCAAGAGGAGACTGGAAGAGGGAGGACTGCGGTGTGGCCATTCCCTCTGGGGAGAACTCTCGCTTTCTCTCTTTCTCTGTCTGACAAGCGTACACACCCTATAGCAAATAAAAGAGAGAGAGAAAGAGGTGGTTTGGATGACGTACTCGTCTCAGGGCACCTATGCCCAGGCAGCTCGCTCGGACTGTGATGGTACCCCTGGCTGTCCATGCAAAGGCACCTGCTGTGTCGGTCTGGAAAGCTCTCCTGAGTCACCGCGTCCCAGTATATACCCTGTGTGTCCCGTGCCCTTTTCTTTCTTTCTTTTTTCAAAATAATAATAATTATTATTTGTTTGGAGAGGTTTTCGCTATAGGGCGCATGCACTCACCAGACAGACAGAGAGAGAGACAGAGAGACAGAAAGTGAGAAATCACCCCCCAGGGGGGATGGTCACGCCGCAATCCCTTCTCCTCCATTCTCCTCTCGGGATCCTGGGCACGCACGCACACGCGCCCGGCGTGAGTTTTAAGCCACCGGGTCCGGGACGCGAACCGCGGTCGACTACGTGGGAGTCCAGCAACATAGCCATTGCGCTAACTGCTGGTTCCCTCAAAATAATTATTTAATTTTATTGATTACTGTTATTTTAAATTTGCTATTGAGCACATGTGCTCACGGTGGGGGTTAGTGAGAAAGCAAGCCATCAGATCTGGGACTTGAGCTGCGATTGGCCACGTGGGAGTCTAGCCCCTTAACCACCTCACCACCTGATGGTCCTTCTTTCTTTAATTGCCAGGGGGTTTGTGCACTCACAAGGGAGAGACAGGGAGTGAGAGCGGAGCGAAAGTGAGAAAGCAAGCTGCCAGGTCTGGGACTTGAACTGCAGTCGGCCATGTGGGTGTCCAGCGCCTCAACCACCACCTCCTGGCCCCCCTCGTGCCCCTTTTTTTTTTTTTTTTTTTTTTTTTTTTTAAAGTTGGTTGTAGGGTATGCATACTCACCAGACAGAGACAGAGAGACACAGAGAGGGAAAGTGAGAAAGCTAGCCACCAAGTCCAGGACTCTAACCACAGTCAGCCATGTGGGAGTCCAGCACCTTACCCACCATGCCACACCTTGAATCGTATTAGATACAGTTACCAGACGTAACTCCCAGTCTTAGAAACATGCCTGTGTGTGCACCGGGCCAGCCTTCCAGGGTGTGCCTCCTGGCAGGTCTCCAGATGACCTCAAGTCCCTGCACAGCTTCCTCTGGCCGTGGCCCACTGCGGAGGCACCAAAGCCACGTGTTCTTTGCCCAGGCTCCCAGGACTGCCCTCTGATCATGGGTACAGTGAATGCATGCTAAGGCAGACGGTGGTCTTAGGAAGGTTTTAGGCAGGCTGGTGTGGCCCCTCCCTCTCTCTCTTTTCTTGCCTGCAATTTAGATGTGATTCCTGGAGCTGGAGCTGCTGCAGCAAGTTTGTAGCCAGGAAAAACAAATGAGGGAATCACACAACGATCAGTTCTGATGCTTGTGGAGCTGGGAATGCCAGTGATCACCTATATGTGGGTGATCACGTCCTGAACTGTGAACCTGTAGTTCTTAAATCGCTGTTCATGGTAACCCTGCCCCTTGACACGGAGACAGTTCTTCTTTCTTTTTTCTCCTTTTTTTGAGAGATTTTTGTTACAGGGGCATGTGTGTAGGCTGGAGAGACACAAGAGACAGAGAAATCACCCCCCAGGGAGGATGGCCACGCCGCAATCCCTTCTCCTCCATTCTCCTCTAGGGATCTTGGGCATGCATACACACGTGCCCGGCGTGAGTTTTAAGCCACCGGGTCCAGGACTCGAACTGCCGTTGACTACATGGGAGTCCAGTGACATAACCATTATGCTATCTGCTGGCTCCTGAAGGTACTTTTTCTAACATCTCAGTGACTCTGTCTAATTCAGAAGAGCCTGAGGA